AAAACTGACATGTGGAACAACAAGGACCTGACACGTGGTCCAGTAAGAACCTAATACGTGCAAGATTCAGATATGGCCACGTTGTGCAATAAGAAGGTGACACATACCTGAACCATCTCCAATACAACCGGCTATAGCATATATACGTGGGCTATAGCATGTACATGTGGAAAGTATCTCCAATGGAAGCGTCCACCAACATGACAGTTCCCTGCCACATATGCCAAAATAGTTCTCTAACGATCTGTTTTTCATCATAGATCAAGACATTTCTATGATGATTTTTTCAGACTCGTCATAGATGTGCAAGAATGATGTGACTTCTATGACGAACCGTTTTTCGTCATAAATTCGTCATAAAACTGAAATTATGATGAATTTAACTCCTTTAGTGATGAAATCTATTCATCATAGAAGTGGATATTTCTAGTAGTGCAATAAGCAGGCTATCAGCTAAAATAGCCGATTCCAATGAAAGTAAGCTCATAACATGCAAGCACTCAACCATTGAACATGAACAGATCCATAAATCTATCAAATCTAATCTATTATCTCTAACAGTGGGGTTCGACCAAATTGATGGCAGCTATAATAAAGATAACAAATTAAACCTTCAAAGAATACAAGTCGGTTCACACTCAACGGAATCGTGAAAGCATGTTACGATCGTGAAAGCGCGGGCGATCGGCTAAATAGCTGATGCGAACATAACATACAGCCAGAGGCTATGTTTGACCATAGTCAAGACTTGTTAATTGATAATTTCCAATCTGTAATGATAACAGTGGGGATCGACCAGATCGATGGCAGCCATAATAGCAGTTCTAGACCAGATTTCATCAACTAACAAGCTTACTTAGGATCAAACACGTCTTGACCACATGCTATCTTCAATTAAGATTAGAACAAAATGACTAATCTAGCCAGAACCATCGTCAAAGTGGGATGTGAAAAGGATAAAGCAATAAGATGATAGTTCAAAGAGATATAAAGCCAATCCGTTTCAATCTTAATCAGGTAAGGGGTGATGTTGTTACAAATAGTAAGAATACTAATTATAACAAGATCGATAACTAGCAAATCTATTAAAAACAATAAGAAAACCCTACCAATCTTAATAGATTTAACCGATAACTAATTTGTATCAAAATTTATACGAGATCGAGCCGGACCGATGCAACCTTATAAATTTTGATAAGAATCGAGGGGTAACTTGTATCAGGAATTGTACGAGATCGAGCCGGGCCGATGCAACCTTACAATTATGGATAAAAGTTGATAACTAACTTATACAAAGCTTACAAAAGGTCAGCCAGACCGATGCAGCCTTATAAACAAAGTATAAGTCATGACACAAACAAACCGAAGGTCGGACCTAACCGATGCAGCCCTGTTTGTCCGAAGAACTCACCGAGATCTACTCCACACCTACTCCTAAGGGGTGGCGTAAGCCAAAAAGTAAAGGTACCGGTTTGATTGATCGATAAGAGATGTCTATTACAATAGCCGGGGTTCAATATTTATACCCGAAGATTGACTACGAGTCATGGTCGAACAAGACCGGTTACAAAATTCATAAAAGAAGACAAATATTCTAAATCAAGATAACTTGGACTCTAATCTTTCCCTTCTATGAAGTCCACCGCGTCTTCTTGCTTCATGTTACCACCATCCTTCGTCGATAAGGCTCATCCTTGAGATGATGACGTCACATTGTTTAGTCAACGGCAACCTTATTCAGCCGATTTTTGCAAATATTTTGGCTTCTTCCGGTAGATTCTGAAATTCAGGGTTCTTATGCACTCCGGTCAAAATTTGGTGTCAACAACCGTGAGCAACTATTTTTAATCGTAACCTCTTATTTGGTTTGTGAACAAAAATAAGAGAGTGAGTTGAAAAGGGAGTTTATATCCCCAGCTTGGTATGAGGTTCTTGTGGTATGAATTAAAGTCAATGTCATGCAGATTCCGGACGAACTTTGAAGGGACTTTGGCATGCCGAGAAGAGAAGGGGAAGGAAGAACTAGGAGCATCAACAATTTGGACTAGAAAATCCCCACGATTGCACGTTTATGATTTTGAACTCAATCTAAGACGTAGGTCGATTTAACTCTTGAGTTGAATTTTGATTTGATCCATCTTCTATGCATTTCCTTGTTATATTTAGGGCCTATTTATTAGGGCTCCTCTCCAGCTCCAGCTCTAGCTCCTCCGGATGAGCTTTACCAAACGTTTTGTAGGAGGAGGCAAAGCCATTTTGGAGAAAAATGGATTCGGCTCTTCTAGAGGAGCATCGCTAAACACCCCCCTTATCTGATTTCCCTTCACTTCTCTTTGCTAGATGTGGCATGCTATAAATGGACCTGGACCTGTACTGGATGGCCTTTTGTTAGAAATGGATCCGAATGTCTTAAACATCGAAAAGATTTTATATTCATATCAGTTTTATTGTCAACATGGATATCTACATTCATAGTTGACTTTTATATGAATGCCAAATGGATGTATTCGAATTTATCTTTTGTGATTCTTCTTTATCCGATTCAAGATCCATATCTGGAAAAAATATGAACTATTAAAAATTATTATTATCCGTGAAGAACAAAGCACCATCTAAAACTTATATTCCATTTGTTCTAAATTATAAGTTGTCGTAGCTTTTTTATATACGTAGTATAAAATATAAGTTATGAATCTAGAAAAAGTAGAACGGCTTATAATTTGAAATGGAGTGAGTATTTATGAGTAATTACAATGTAAATGATAATTCTTTTGATATAACTCATTTAAAGTATTTAAAAGTTATCTCTATGGCTGATATGTCTAAACATAAAGGTTAAGTTTAAATTATGATAATTCTAAAACTTGTATTTATAATAATTTAAAACTATTAAAAGTATATTTATGATAATTGTAATATTGAAATAATGATACATATAAAGCTTAACTTTAGTTAACTTGATTTTTTATATACCTGAATTAATTTATAGGTCCATATTTACGTGCATTGAGATACTTATCTACACTTTTATTACTTTTATATATTTGATTATTAAAATATTTATTATATATATGTTATCTACGCCAATATTGTTGTTTTAAGGAAATCTACTTGTTATCTTCAAAATTAAGTAGATATCCAAATGCAAATCTAAATTTGAGATATAAATATCAGTACCCGTATTTGGATCGGTAATGTTTAGATGCAGCCGTCACGACGGATGGACGCGGCTTCCCAAACCGTAGAAATTTCCCCACTCGCTACCATGTCGTACGCTTGCTCTCGCCATCGCCGTGCGCCCCTGCGGCCATCCCCCGCGGCGCCCCAATCCAGCTCTCCCCATTCTCACCCATCCCATCTCTCGGTCACTCTCTCGCATCCGCTGGCAGCAGCAGAGCCCCACGCCACCACCGCTGCCTCCTTCCGCCACCCAAGGCGACCACGCTTGTTCCCTCAGTTTGTGCAGTGCCTCCCTGGCCTCTTCCCCAACCCCAGCGCCATCGTGCGCATGTACCAGGGCGCCTTAGGTTGTCCCCGGCCGAGCCAAGGGCACCCACGAGCATGGACGGTGCTCGTGGTGCTCGCACGCCGCCGGCTCCCACCCTGATGGCCAGAATCGACCAGCCCCGGCCTCCCCTTTGCCGGCGATGCCGTGTTTAAAGTGTTCCATACGTATGTTTTCAAGTGTTTCATCTAGATGTTGCGTATGTTTCAATGGATATATACGCATGTAGCAAACATATGTTTCATGTTGCAAGCATATGTTTTAAGTGTTTCAGTTGTTTCAGACGTATGTTTCAAGTATTTCATCTGGATGTTGCATAACATGCATGTTTCAAACGTATGTTTTCAAGTATTTCAGGTGTTTCATATGTATGTAGCAAGTATTTCATCTGGATGTTGTGAAACTACATCTGGATGTTGCATATATTGTTATGGCTATACATACATGTTTCTAGTATTTCATCTGTTTCAGACATATGTTTCAAGTGTTTTCATGTATGTTTCAAAAGTAGATTTGGGGGAGCACATGTTGTAATGGCACCGATGGTTGGCGGACAGCGGCTTGCCGCAGCCTCCTGCTACTGCTGGGGTGCCGTCATGGGTCACCGTGTGGACGCCTAAGGCCTGCAGACGCCTCCACGGCGTGCATCCATAGGCAGGGCAGGCGACTGGGACCGATCCCCACGTGCATGCGGGCGTGTGAAACGGGAGCGGGCTCAAGTGGTCCCGCATACGTGTGGGCGTGGGCGAGCGAACCGTCGGCGCGCGGCGTTTTCGGCGAGCGCATGTGACGGAGGAGGCGCAGGAGCTGCGTCCGAATGCACCTGTCCAAACGTTCGGACGCTAGCCCTTCTATATTTGGATTCAAATTAAAGTGTGGTAAATAACGCTATCTAGATTCGATTCCATACGAATCTAATCCGAATCCAATATAGCTTACCGGACACAATGCTAGATTGGACCGTAAGAACGCATCCAAGTGGGGCCCACATGTCAGGGGTGGCATGGTGCTTTGATGGATAAAAATTCAATCCTTGGCTTTAATAGTATGGAATAATATAGATTAAAAGTTATATATATTTGCAAAATATAAGATTAACTTGATAAATACTTTTATTGAACTATTTTTTCTACTTGATTGAAACAGTATATGTTCTCTACGGAAAGAGCTGTAGTTCTATAGGATTTTGTAATTCTGATTTCTGAAGGTGTATGGAACTTCAGGTTGGGATGGTAGGAGTTTGGGCCCCTTTCAAAAGGAAAATTTTACGCCCAGAGGCTTTTGCTTGTGAAATTCTGGTCGGAGCCCGGCCCATGTCTATTTTTAGATCCCTCCCCAATCAATAAATCCTGTTTTTGCAAGGTCAATAAAAGCTCGCCGATCCCTCTTGCTTCCCGTCCTCCCTCCTCGCCCAAGTTCCAACACCGGCCGCCGCTACATCGCCAAACCCTATCTAGGGTTTTGCCAAGCCCTCCCCTTCCCTACCATCGACCCCATGGATCCCTTTTCCAAGAAGCGCAAGCCCGACGAGAACGGCGCCGTCACCGCCTCTCCAGCCGGTGGGGCTGCCACGCTGGGCCTCACCCGCGACGACGTCCTCCGCCTCCTCGAGCCGCTCTCCCGGGACCAGCTCGCGGACATCGCGGCCGCCGCCGCGCTCGTCTCGGCGCACGCGCTCGACGCCGTGCGCGCAGCCGCCGACCGCGACCCGGCCCTCCGCAAGCTCTTCGTTCGGGGGCTCGGGTGGGAGACCACATCCGACTCGCTCCGCGCCATCTTCTCCTCCTATGGGGACCTCGAGGAGGCCGTCGTCATCACTGACAAAGCCACGGGGCGGTCCAAGGGCTACGGTTTCGTCACCTTCCGCCACGCTGATTCCGCCGTCCTCGCACTCAAGGAGCCATCCAAGAAGATCGACGGTCGCATGACTGTCACGCAGCTCGCCGCCGCCGGCTCGGCAGGCGGGCCGTCCGGTGGGGCCGCCGGCAGTGGCGGTGCTCCTGTGGCTGATGTGTCGCTCCGGAAGATCTTCGTTGGGAACGTTCCTGCAGACATGCCGTCGGAGCGTCTCCTTGCGCACTTTGCCGCCTATGGCGAGATTGAGGAGGGGCCGCTGGGGTTTGACAAGCAGACGGGCAAGTTCCGGGGCTTTGCACTTTTCGTTTACAAGACACCTGAGGGTGCGCAGGCATCCCTAGTGGACACGGTCAAGGTAATTGACGGCCACCAGCTTGTATGCAAGCTTGCCATAGAGGGGAAGAAGGGGAAGCAGGGGCAATCACAGCAATCTGGCCCTGGCAACCAGCAGCAGCAGCAGATGCTGCCGGGTGGTCCGCAAGACATTCAGGGAGGCCTTGGGCTTGGGTCACAAATGGGAGCGCAGTATGGTGGCCCTGGGAACGGTATGCCTTCGTTTGGTTTTGGTGGTGTTGGCGGCGGGTTTGGGGGTCCAAACCCTTATGGTAACATGCCATCTTCCATGGGTGGAGGAGGCGCAGGTGGTTTAGGGTCGATGGGAGGCCAGGTGCCCACTGGGCTGGCTGGTGCTGGGGCTGGTGCATTTGGGCCTGGGGGATTGGGTGGTGGCTCATTTGGGGGATCATCTCAGTTTGGTGCTGCTGGGATGGGGGCATATGGTGGCCTTGGAATGGGTGGAGGCTCCATGTACCGCATGCAACAGGGAGCAGGTGGGCTGCCTGCAGGCGCATTTGGAGAAGGAGGCAACTATCCTCTTCCAGGTTCTGGTTTCCGGGGCCAGGATCCTCAAGGTGGAATGTCTCCTCCTGGTCCAGGTGCCAGGGCTCCTCCTATGTATCCCAACGTGCCGCCTTATTTCTAAGGTATAAACACCGCTTCCATATGTTCTTAATTTTATTTATATAGCTTAGTTAATGTTCTAGTATGTTGCTTGATGTGTAGTGAAACATGCATTGATTGGTAGATGATTTTCTTTAGCTTCTCTTGGATGAACTTGAGTACTTGACTAATGTGTTTGCAAATTATGTTGGCAGAGTGTTTTTCTTTGCTTTTGTTGAATGGCTGGGAAATCAAAATATTATCATTGATTAAGTTCCAATGATTTGTAAGAGATTTAAGGCCATTGCCACACTAACAAGTAGTGATTGGCTGAATATTGTTTATTTGTCCTGATTTTATTGGTTTTCTTGGTGACTGAAGTTCTGATGGTGCTTTGTAAAAGACTTGAAATAATTATGGTACTTATGAAGTTGATTGGTGAGCATAGCTTCAAGGATGATAACTGTGAATGTGTCAGCGTAGTAGACCTTAATTTCTAGTTGACATTATTTCGTAATGTGTTTTCCTGTTCTGAAACTTCCCTTTGGGTGTATGGGTCTATCCTTGGACGGCTTGTCTTTGTAGTGTGGAAGGTACTCTCAGAGCATAGCATAATCCTTTGGTGGTCAGTCTAAGGCACCACCCATCATTTTTACATTGGAATTTCTTTGGTTGTTTGTGACAAGAGTTCATTCCTTTGCCCTTGTTAGTTTCTTGCGTATGTGCTTGTTGGATTCTAATTTGTTGTCTTACTTATCCTGATGCTTGGGATCACCAAGATTCGGTATTCCTGATAAGTTTTATCATGATGATGACCAATAATGTGTATGTCTTGGTTATTTACTAGATCTTAGTATCTCACCTTGCTGGTTTGCACTTGATGCTAGATGTTTGTTGACATCTGAGATTTGAGATTGGTATGTTGGCTTGTTTAGGATTTACGTTGCATATGGGAATTGTTGCAGTAAATATGGTTTCTGGTAAAATGTGTACCTATATTTATTGTTTTTTTGTTAGATGCCTTGGTTTACTTTGATTGCTTTGTCAATAGATGCATTTCGATCTTCTTCGCTAGTTGGTCGGTCCTTTTTATTTGCATCTTTTTTTACTATTCTTATTATCATTGAGTCTTCACTGTTATTAGTGGTGTGTAGAATAACTGTTATTTATCTGTGCATGTTTTCCAGTATTCATGTCATTGATACAAGTACCTTTACTCCTATTTGGTACTTGGGCATGAGTATTGGCACATTTTTGTAAAGGAACCCCTTTTGTGGAACTCAAGTTGTTTCCCTATCTCATATTGCATATAGTGCTTGAGGCATTGATCCCAAATATTTTCTTTCCTCGTTTCATACTATAAAATTACTAGTTGCATACACCTACAGCCCTCAAATGTGTATTTGAATGCTAGAGATTTTCTGCTTGATCATTTTGCTGCAATGTTACGGATGACGACTTCATAAGCTTTTATAAAGTTATGTCTATTTCTTCTATTAACATTGCATATATATCATGGCCAATGTATTTTAAAAAACAAATCTAACCTTGATTGACTCGACATTGTACTTTCTTTTTGACTGGTGGTGATATTTCATGAAATCTTTTGAGCTTTTTGGATTTTTTTTTTTATATATCATCAGAAATATGCTTTGACCCAATTTTTACTGCCTACATATATTTAATTGTGCTACAATAATATTCTGCAATCTTCATGCTGAACTAAATAATTATGCGATATATTTGCACTTAAAGGTTTGCAAGATCAGTGTGCAGTTATCAAAACTGTTATACTTGATATTGCAATACTCTGAAAAAAAATATAGTCTCTAAGTTTAATAGTTTATATGCTTTATGTATTAAACATCATATATCTATTTTCTAATGTTGTATTGTATATATTTTTTATTTATATATGTATACTCAGCTGAATTATTGATTGAATTCTAGTGAATGTGTGACTCAGGTGTGTGACAACTCTTGGGAGCATATCCTTTGAAATGGTTGTGCTGAATTCAGAAGTGTTGTCTGCTTACATGGATGCTTGCATATTCTGGCTACTTCTGATCTGGAATGTGGAATGAGTTTGCACTCTCAATTTTCGCTGTTAAGGGATACATGAAGCTAGTTAGTTGTGATAATGTTTATTTGTGATAATACTTCACATGTACTTTCTTATGATTGCTTTGCAGTTTAATTTTCTATATAGATAAGCGACGTTGCATTAAGTGTATGCTGTGTTGTTTATTGTCGTATTAATGTTGCATGAAGTGTATGCTGCGTTGATTATTGTCGTATTATCGTATGAAATCCCTTTATTTTATTTTCATGGTCTGATGATGTGTTTAATCGTATATGGCTTTCTATCTGTCTATACTTTTGGTGAGCCGAGGGCAGTTTATATGTATGATTGGTGACTGTAATGCACTTTTTCTTTTAGAATTTATATATTGTCTATTTGCAAACAAACAGTTGTGATCCATTTCAAAATAAGTTAATAAGTTCCAATCTATAGTTATATCCCTTCCTTGAGACTGCAAATCATTACAGTTAATATTAATATTTTTATTGTCAGATTGGAAACATGAACTACACTTTGTTACTGTTAATCTTTTGTACTTTTCTCAAGTCAAATGTGACTTAGATTTTGGGTGGTAACTGGAGATTCCAGCCCGTATTGAAACCTGAAGTTGGTTGAAAATATTTAATGTTTACCTTGTTTAGTGAATGTATCTGTCATTGTTAGTTCAACAACTTTTTGTTACTATTTTGTATTTGTGGATAGCCTACCCCAACTTGCTTGGGACTGAAAGGCTATGTTGTTGTTGTTGTTGTTGTTGTCTAATCTGATCTGCTCTATTGTTACAAGTTTAATAAATTTTCTTTTGTTTGTTTGAAGCTAGGTTTGGCATTTTCTGCTATGAAATTTTTTATTTGTGTTGTGTTGTGGAGGGTTTTTTTTTTTTTTTGCTTTAAAAGGTACAATGACTGGATTGTATTATGGAGGGTTTATGATTCTATTCGCAGCCTACCCCAACTTGCTTTGGACTGAAAGGCTATGTTGTTGTTGTATGATTCTGTTCGCTGCCTTGTCAATGGTGTTGACATTGGTGATATTTTGTTATATAGTATTCCTCCATTCCAAATTGTAATTTGTTCTTTCTTTTCTAGATACATTTGCTACACACCTAGATATAGATTATGCCTAGATACAATGTAATGTATCTAGAAAAGCTAGCTACAAGGGCTTAAAATTTGCAACGGAGGGAGAATAATAACTATCTTGCAATTTGGAACGGAAATGGCTTACAATTTGGAATGAAGTTGTAAGTCGTTCTGGTTTTTCTAGATATATAGATATAGATTTTACTAACATCTAGATATACATTATGTCTAGATACATAGTAGAAAGCTATGAATCTAGAAAAGCCAGACCGACCTACAATTTGGAATGGAATATTTTGTTCTTATAATAATTGGTTGGTTGGTTATTTATTTGATTGTTTAGTCAATTTAAGAGCCATTGAGGTGTTTTTTTTCCCCTGCGATAAGAATTGTGCTGTATTTGATCCAGTGGTATATGTCGTTCAATGTAAATTTACCTATGTTGCAATGTCTATATATTGTGATTCTTTGTGGTAATGCCTATATCTTGTTTCTCTGTACGGATTCTGTTTTGATTGATTTGCCATTCACTCTGTAATAACTTGATAAACGACTGCCCAAAAATGTTTTTAACTCTAGCAAATATACATGAGGGTTGAACTATTGAAAAATGTTTTTCACCCAAGCAATTATATACTTGGGAGAGGTCTAATCAGGAAGTTAAACAGAAGCACGTTCCATGTATCTGGTAGCCCTGGTAGGCACCAGTGGCTGCAGTCACTATATGTCAGTGGTTGCTGCAGCTGCTCTTTGCTAAGTGGTTTTCCTTCCCTAGTAATTGTGTAAATTGATGGGTGTGCATCAATTCGGAGCTCGGAGAGACGAGTGATGTTCATATATACAATAGGCGTTTTCATCATCTTGATGTTTTTCTCGATAATGTTTATCAAACTTTTTGGAAACGATGGAGCGATGTTTCCGTCCCCCTTGGAGATAGGAGCCGTTTGGTTGTAACACCAATTTACGCTGCATGATAGAAGGGATGTAGTAAGTGATAAAGTAGTTGGATGTGTCTTTTCAATTGTTGTTCGAAATATGCACCTCTTGTGTTCAGGTGAGACACTTCGGAAGAATACTCTGGTTCTGCTAGGGTCTATATTGTAGTCGACCCACCTAGCCCAGGTCCTCAATGCTCCATCGAAGGCTTCCTCTCCAGCCATCTGCACCATCTTGCCGTCCCACTCGAGATGATCCCACCTGCATGCAGATGGATAAGAACAGCAAATGAAATTTGACCTTCTGAAGTTCGGCGCTGCGAGCTTGTGTACTTACGCCCTGAGTTTGCCTGTGTGAGTCCACCAGTGGCCGGTGTTGAAGATGAGGACGTCAGCACCGAGCGTCCGCTGCAACATAGGCGGCAGCTGGTCCAGCATGAGCGCCTTGGTCCGGTCGTCTTTTGTTTCGAGCTTTACGAGGAAGGGGCTCCAGAAGAACTCCACGGAGCAATTATAATCCTGTTATTTTTTTTAGAAATTAGAAATTTGGGTGGTGTAAGAACAAAAGGTTTTAACTGTCATTTTAGATATCAGCTTATAGTCAATCAAAAAGAGAAGTAGAGAGCATTAGGGTTCTAGCATATCATTATTGATAATTATTTTGTTGACATGCTCAAGAAGACAAGAACAGGAAATTATCTCAAGAACATTTGGAACACCCGAAAATCAATGCGTGTACGAGCTATAGTGACGCCATATTTTAGGATCCCACACGTGCAAGCCACAGCTCTCGCAGTTCTGATCGACGCACACAGAAATTTTCACTCTTTCACTATGTCATGCATGTAAGAGTGTACTCCCTTCAGTCGGGTGTATTTCTCTGCATAATTACTGCATTAATATATTAATATATTCTTATACAAAATTGATGTTATCATGTTCATATTGAAACAATGACCACGTTCAACGGCCACCCTCTACTTTGAAACTAGGATAATACACGCTATGGGATTTCAGATAATTTTAAAAAAAATTAGACTTTATATTTATAGCTGTATGAATGAAACTATCTTAAATTAATTTTGGTGAATGATTTGACACATCGATGTGGATAGCTATAGTGGATGAAGAGATAACTATTATAATTACCTGTGTTAGTTGCTATAATTGTAAGTTCTAGTGGATTGTTGATGTAAATAGCTTGTATGTTGAGAGAAATCTCTAGTGGGGTTTAGCTTTATAAGAGTATATAGGATTAAAAGAAGTATTTTGTTAGAACCATGATTTGATTGAGAATTGCTCTACCAATCTACTTTTCAATAAGTATTTTTCAATCAATAAAATTTGAGATGTATAATTATTGATATAAAATGATAACAACAATCAGGTATTTTGAAATACGGTAACATCAATGAAGGATCGGAGTACTACTTAAAAAAAGTTGCTCAACAGTAACTAAACGACATAAACCATCCCAATCTCCGCACCCAAATTCCGCCACGATATCATGCGTACATCGATTTTGGCCAACCGCACCCACATGCCCCGATGCCCGCCACGATATTATGAGGTTGGTCAACAGTAAAATTCTCCGCACCCAAAATCCCAAATGCTCGCCACGATATCATGCGTACGTACAGCGTAGGAGTCGCGTGGAAGCAGTCACTTACCATGGCGCGGAAGATCCTGTACTCGGAGCCAGCGTCGTCGACGATGCGCGTCCGCGACCGGTCCGGCACCGCCGCGTAGAGGATGCAGGCGAGCGACTCCCACATGTTGCGGTTCAGCGAGTCGCCCACCAGCACCAGCCGCTTGTCCCGGCACAGCTCCAGCGCCTCCGGGCCGCCCAGCCTGTCGAACACGACGAGAAGGCGACCGGCATGGCGGCATGCACGCCAGAGTCAGGGATCGATACAGGGATACACTCACTAGTCACTATATACAGTAGTACAAATGAATGCTTGTCACGGTGACCTCGTCCGGCCGCCGCATCGCTTGGGCTGCCACCGCCACCGCTCGTAGCCGGAGTCCGGGCGGCCGTTCCGGCGGCACGCCACCTGGTCGCTCAGGAACGGGCACTCCGCCGCGTCGTACAGCGGGTACGACCCCGCCGGTTCCTCCACCCACTCCCCGTCGAACAAGTCGCACTGCGCGTCCTCGTCGTCCTCCCCTGCTTCATCAGACGGCGCCGGGGCCAGGGCCGGGGCCGGTGCAGGCGGCGGTCCGGCCTCCTCCTCCTCCTCCTCGTCCTCCGGGCTCCAAGCATCAGCAGGGCCGCCGCCTGCTGATGGTGAGATCGCGTCTGGCGCAGGCGCCGGCGCAGCATGGTGCGAGTGCGAGCCAGTACGGGGCAGCGGTGGCGGCGACGCCGGGGCCGCCTTCTGCTGCACCCTGGAGAACCGGTCCCACGCCGCCGCCGTGCGCGGCTGGAACGGCCGCCGGTAGCCGGCGGCGGCGAGGAGGATGCCGGCGGAGAGGAGGAAGATGCACGCCAGTGAGCACATGGAGGTGGCGAGTACCCATCTGCGGGACGAGGACGCGGCGGCGCCGGCAGCTGGTGGTGGTTTGATGGAGTGATCCATTGGTTGGCTAGCTATAGCGCGCGCGCTCTAGGTGGCCAAAGCGAGGCGTGGAGGAGCTAGTGGAGAGTGACTGGAGTCCTGGCGTCGTGGGCAGGGTGGTTACATAGCGAGACGGGGCGGGCTGGCCGGGTCCCGGGGACCAGGAGACTGGAGAGGTAGGGACGGCGGCGAGCGAGGCGTGGAGGAGCTGCTGTGGCGCGCTGGATGGTTTTGGTTGGGCGCCCTGGCCGGTTGGGTTTTGGTTGGGAATTGGGACCGTGTGCACCGCTAGCTAGCTGCTGCTATTATCTAGTATGTGTATGTACATAAGCTTGTGTAGTCACGTGACTGAATGATAGTAGGTTGCTTAATTAGTGACTGTTGTTTACAGTGTTGTTGTTAATCACTAGTTAGTCACGGAATGGGCCTTATGCCGTTAATAGTGTTTGTGTTACACTAGCTAGTGAGCCCGTAAGTCGACTTGTATGTCGCAGGGGTGTAATTCTTGGGCTTAGCCCATTTTCGCCGTTGCACTCTCAGATAAGAACTCGTTGTGTGGCGGTTGGGCGGGCAGCGAATAAACTAAACCAAATTCTTGTTTCTCTTCTTCCCGAGACCTTCCTGCTGTCGAGACGGCGCCGCCGGGCTCGCTCGCCGAGCAAGTACGCCGGCATCCCTATCAATCCTACCAGAATCGTAACATTTGGTACCAGAGCCTTCCGATCCGTCGCTGATACTGGATTCGTAAAATCCCGTCGTCGACGGTTGAATCCAGAGTTGTCGCGCGGCCAATACACCGAATCCCCCATCTCCGCCGCCGCCCTATCCATCCTCGCCGCAGTTCAATTCGTCCACCACCTCCTTCCCCTACCTCCACCGTCACCGATTTCACTGCGCCAGCAAGTTTTCCACCCTGCCGATCCATTTTCCTTTAACCCCAATCACTTTGCCACCACCGCCTCCGATCGATTCCCAACTTCCGATCAATCCACCACAACCTCCATCCCAGTTACCCCACTCGCTGGCGCGCAAACCCAAACCACCAACCCTCACCTCCCGAATGGCGACCGCAGTGGAAAAGCTCGACGCGCTCGGTGTGTAGATGAAGTCCATGCTCCTACTCATGGAGACCTTCAATCATTGGCGTCCTGAGGTCGATCGCTTCTCCACCGAGCTAACCAAGGAGATCAAGACTCTCACGTCACGCGTGGAGGCGTTGGAAGCGAACAACGCTCCGCCATCGGCCCCGAAGCGCGAGGAAGAGGGGCGGGCCATGGGCCATGGTGCTGCAACATCACCATAGGGAGATGATGGGGGACTCTGATCCTCACTCATCCCCTAGCCAATGGTCAGTTATCCACCTCCAATTCCTCAGTTCATTATCATATTGTGCCTACACACAATGAATGTCGTTTGCCTAAGGCCCAGTTTTCCAAATTTGATGGGTCTCATCCAAAAGTCTAAAAAGAAAACGTAGAAAAATACTTTGACATGTTCAATGTCCCGGTGCACCGCTGGGCTCAGTATGGCACCCTCCATTTCAAAGGGCATGCTGCTTTATGGTTACAAACCTATGAAGCACAGCATGGGGTGGATAACTGGGTTGAACTCAGTATTGCTATTGAATCTAAATTTAGGAAAGATCTCTATCACAACTCTATGTAGGAACTACTGAGCCTTAAGCAAACCTCTGATGTTCAGGACTATTATGATAGATTCCAAACTATCATGCATAAAGTGCTGGTGCATAACAATCATTTAGATGATGTTTTCTTTGTTACCAAATTTCTCCAAGGGTTGCATCCTGACATAAGAGCTGCTATTGTTTTACATAAGTCGAGAACAGTTGATGTGGCTTTGTCACCGGCTCTAATGTAGGCCGACATATTGGAATCTCAACCCAAGCATTTTGGCAAGCACCATTATCGCGAGTACAACAAGTATCAAGGCAAGCCACCACCTCAAGCAGTACCACCTGGTGTTCTGGGCGCCCCACCAGCTGAAGATACAAAGCCAAAGTGGGAAGACAAGCTGGCAACATTGCGAGCTCAGCGACGCGCTCAAGGCTTATGCATGAAGTGTGGCGAGAAATGGGGCCACAACCATAGGTGCCCTAATAAAAGTGGCTCTGCATGTCTTGGAAGAATTCATGGAGCTGATTTCAGATGAAAGCCCTCCTGAACAAAATACTTTAGATTCTAGTGATGAAGATGAAGTTGTGTTTGCTCTATCTTAGTCAGCAACAGTCGGCGTTCCAGGCAAGAAAACTATCAAGCTCCACGACATAGTCAAGAATCAAGAACTGCTCATCCTCATTGACTCGTGCAGCTCCTGCACATTCATTAGCGACAAAACTGCTACCGCGCTGAACTATGTCCTGATGCTTGCTCCTCCCATTCAAGTAACGATGGCAAATGGCGATAAACTTTAGAGCACCCATCAGGTCCTCAATTTCAGTTGGTGGTCTCAGGGGCATAGTTCACAACTAATGCTCGTGTGCTGCCCTTGCCGTACTATGATATGGTGTTGGGTATGGACTGGTTGGAACAACACAGTCCCATATGGATACACTAGAAAAGGAAATTGTTGAGGTTTTCTTATCAGGGCAGAAGAATTAGCTTAAAGGGGGTCAAAGATACTTTATCCAGCTGTCCCAAAGTGAAAGTAAGGAAGTTAAAAGGCCTTATCAGGAAAGGTGGTATCGCTCAGTTGATTCACTTATGTCAGGTGACACCACCTTTGGCTCTAGACAACATTCCTGTGACAATACACAGTTAGTGGATAGTCAGGCTCATCTTTTCAGGGACCCAGACTCTTTGCCACCGTCCAGGGAGTTTGATCACCAGATCCCTCTATTACTTGGTGTGAAGCCTGTCAATATCAAGCCTTACAGATACTCACCGACATAGAAAGATGAGATCGAGCGTCAGATCAAAGAAATGTTCTCCAATGGCATCATTAGGACAAGCCAATGTCCTTTTGCATCCCTAGTGATCTTGGTCAAAAAGAAGGACGGCAGTTGGCGCTTTTGTGTTGATTACCGGCAACTCAACAACATCACTATAAAAAACAAGTACCCATTACCGGTTGTCGATGAGCTTCTAAACGAATTGAATGGAGCAGCTTGATTCACGAAGTTAGACATGCGATCATGCTATCATCAAATTCGGTTGGCTCCTGAAGATGAAGCAAAAACAGCCTTCTGTACTCACAGTGGGCATTGGAAATTCAGAGTAATGTCGTTTGGGCTCACAAATGCCCCAGCTACCTTTCAAGCTTTGATGAACACTATCTTCCAACCACTGTTGAGGAAATGTGTACTGGTCTTCGTTGATGACATACTCATTTCTACAGCCCACACTAGAAGCTCATGTGGAACATCTGCAGCAAGTCTTCAACATTCTCAATGATCATCAGTTATTGCTTAAGAGGTCCAAATGTTTCTTTGCTCAACAAACTTTAGAATATCTTGGTCACATCATTAGTGGACAAGGTGTGGTGACAGATTCCAAGAAAATTGAGGCCGTTGCTAACTGGCCCCCATCATCAGATACCTGGCAGTTGCGAGGGTTTCTCGGTCTATCCGGCTACTATCGAAAATTTATAAAAAATTATGGTATTCTGAGTCGACCTCTTACTGATCTATTAAAAAAGGATGCTCTATTTCATTGGACACCGCGACTGCAAACATGCTTTGACAACTTGAAACAAGCCCTTATTTCAGCACCTGTGCTCGCCTTACCAAACTTCCACAAATCCTTCATAGTTGAGACTGACGCTTCCTCCACTGGTATTGGTGCAGTGCTATCTCAAGACAAGCACCTAGTGGCTTACCTGAGTAAGGCCCTTAGCCCCAAGGCTCAAGCACTCTCAACATATAAGGAGTGCATGGCACTCATTATGGCAATCACAAAATGGAAGCCTTACCTCCAGCACAAGGAATTCACGATTGCAACCGACCACAAGAGCCTCGTTCATCTTGGGGAGCAAAAGCTACATGAGGGTATGCAATAAAAAGTTTTCATCGAGCTATTGGGCTTACAGTACAAAATTCTATACAAGAAGGGTTTGGAGAACAAAGCTGCAGATGCTCTTTCCAGGCAAGCCGAGCCTTCATCTCTAGCTGCTATCACTGCAAGCACTCCTAAGTGGTTGGAAATCATTTTGGAAGGCTATCAACAAGATGATCAAACCAAACAGTTGCTCACTGAGCTCAGTATTACTGGTTCAAATGACAAAGGCTTCACTCTCAGTGATGGACTTATCAAGTACAAAAACCGTATTTGATTGGGGAACCACAAGGAGGCGCAACAGGCTGTCTTACTAGCTCTTCATTCTAGTGGCCTCGGTGGACACAGTGGCAACACTGCTACTTATCATAAGGTTAAATCCCTCTTTGCTTGGCCCAATATGAAACAATTTATCACAGATTATATTAATGCTTGTGAGGTATGTGCCTAGGCTAAACCTGAACACTATAGATTACCAGGTTTATTGCAACCACTTCCTATTCCTACACATGCTTGGCACTATCTTAGTGGTCATAGATAAGCTAACCAAATATGCCCACTTTATCCCTATACTGCTTTATCCGTAGCCCGAGCTTTCTTAGCAAATGTGTACAAACTGCATGGCATGCCTTCCATCATCATATCTGATAGGGACAAAATATTCACGAGTGCCCTCTGGCAAGAACTTTTTAGACTTACTGAAACCACACTCAACATGAGTTCACCCTATCACCCTCAAACCGACGGTCAAACCGAACGTTTGAATCAATGCCTTGAAACATATTTATGCTATATGGTACACTCATGTCCTAAAAAATGGGCCCAGTGGATTCCCCTAGCCAAATTTTGGTACAACACAACATATCACTTTGCTCACGGTCATACTCCTTTTGAAGCATTGTACGGGGCACCCCCCCCCAAAACATTTTGGAATTACTGCTTCTGATGCTTGTTCTGTCGCTGATCTGGATGATTGGTTGCAAGCACGTAATACAATGATGCAACACATTCAACACAACTTGGCTCGAGCACAACAACGAATGCAGCATCAGGCTGATAAGCACCGTCAGGAAAGGGCTTTTGATGTTGGGGATTGGGTATATGTTAAACTGCAACCACACATTTAGCAGTCAATCATGCGTCGATCTAATCAGAAGCTCAGTTATAAGTACTTTGGGCCTTACCTTATTCTGCAAACTGTTAGCAAGGTTGCTTATAAGTTACAACTTCCAGCCACTAGTCAGATTCATCCTGTGCTGCATGTATCTCAATTGAAGAAGGCCTTGCCTCCTGATGCTTCTCTGTCCAAGGATGTTGAAATGCAGTTGTTGCTAACTCTGGATACTCTGCCACCCTCCCAGGTATTGGCTGAATGCCTAAATCTTGTTGGTTGTCATGTTATTCCTACTGTGCTTGTGCAGCGTGAATCATGCCCGGAGCATTGGGCGACCTGGGAACCAGCTGCAACCATATCCAAGCTCATACCTAGGGCGCTGTCCACGTCGACTACTGCATCGCGACGATGCGTTGCAACTTAAGGAGGAGGGATTGTCACGGAATGGGCCTTATGCCGTGTATAGTGTTTGTGCTACACTAGCTAATGGGTCCGTAAGCCGACTTGTATGTCGCAGGAGTGTAATTCCTGGGCTTAGCCTATTTTCGTTGTTGCACTCTCAGATAAGAACTCGCTGTGTGGGCGGTGGGGCGGGCAGCGAATAAACTAAACCAAATTCTTGTTTCTCTTCTTCCCGAGACCTTCCAGCTGTCGAGACGGCGCCGCCGGGCTCGCTCGCCGTGCGTGTACGCCGGCATCCCTATCAATCCTACCATAATCGTAACATATTCTAGTGCCCCTACCTACACTACACATCAAGTGGCCTGCATATGCCTATCTAGCTAGTTGTTTGAGAAAGGTACTTTAGGGCCGATCTGAATGGGCTCAAGAGTTTGTTTTACCAGCCACACGGGAGTAGGCCAATAGGGTACGTCTCACGTTCCGTTTCGCAGCGGCATTTCAATTTACATACACTAGCCACGCAGACAAGCAGACAGTGCAGCCAACGTGGGGTTCCTTGCTTGCTCCAGTTCGCCATGACGAGTACACGTGCACGGGGCACGGCTGCCCGGAGTCCCGAGCGCCGTCTTGGAGAGGAAGCGATGATGGTTATGGGACATTGGAAGAAGCTAGCTGGTGCTGGATTGATCATGGAGACTGGAGCGAGAGCGAGTCCCATCGCGTCGCGTAAAGAATCGGTAACGTGCAGCTCTCCAGAACGTTGTTTGTCGGGGGATTTCGCTCGAGTGCGCATCATGCCGCGTTTGGGCTCGCAGAGGATGATGCGGGCAATGAGCATGCCGGGCCTGGGAGATGTGCGATCCGAGCCACGGAAATGATTTGCGCGCTTGAGGGTGTCGGAGCTTCGAATGCCTCTCCGTTCAAGGCGAGCTTGAATCCGGGCGCGGTTTTCCCATGGGCCGGTCGAGAAGGTAGCCCACAAGGCCATGCATTTCCTCGTCCAGCCCGTCCCGGAGGCAGCCCACAGCGTCCACCATCCAACCATGGACCACAACCGTGCCGTGTCACTCCAGAAGGAAGGAACTGGAAGGGTCGGTCAGTGCCAGTGTGCCGCGAGCACGAGGCCGAGGACGCGCGCCGCTCGTTTCGTTTGGCGCGGGCCGCCGCGGCTGCTTCCTCCGCACGCCCCGCCCCGCCCCCCCGTTCCACTTCCACAGTTCCACCCGAGAGAGGTCGGTCGGGATGGCCCTCGTCGCGTGCCCGCGCTGCAACATAACCCCGCCCCAACCCCAAGCCTCCGCTTCCGGAAGCCGCGGCCTACTCCGCGCGCCGAGATCTGCAGCGTCCAGGCCCCCGCCGGGGCGTCTCCGCCGCAGCCGCGCCATGGCCGCCTACGGAGGCGGGCACTCTGCTGCCGCTGCCGCCGGCGCCGATGACGGTGCCGGTGCCGCCGCTCCCCACGCGTCCCCGTCGATGCTCGTTTTCTCAGGTGACCAGACCTCCCCCTGCCTGAGTGCCTGTCACGAGAGGGGTTTCGTTTTGAGGCGGACGGGGGATGCGGGCTCGGTGCGTGGAATGGAAGCGTCGGCGGCCTATGGGAACGCGCGCCCGCGTGTGCGAATTCCGGTGCTTAGTGCTTACGATTGGATCAGTGTGTAATGCGTAGCAGCAGTTCAAGAGAGCTTGCTATGCATGAGATTTCAGGCCTGTGCCTAATCACGAGGATCCGCCAGAATCTTTTCGAGTGCTCATTCGAGAACTACGATCTTTGGCTCTAGAACTGAACCATTTCCTTGTATCTCAGAAAAACTTCCGGGTTAATAGGGAGGATGTTTGATCGGAATAAATATATATTTTTTCTTATTTCTATTTTATGATTGACCAATATAAACATAAACAACTTCAAATTGGACTCGTTTCCCCTCAACAAATAAAGGCTTTGGCTAAAAAAATCCTACCTAATGGGGAAGTCGTTGGCGAAGTCACAAGGCAGTCTTTAGTAGAGAACTAGGTAGCCCCAGCTATGGTTGTAAATTTTCATGCATTGATACATGATCTGCTGTATGCTTGAGAACAAAAATATTGATAGATGCAAACAGACAAGTGGCATCTCTGTTTTTCTTTCCTCACTGTCCTGCCACAGAAAGCTGATTCATGGTTAAATGGGGACTTCGGAATTGGTGTGGAGAGAAATGCATAGTGCTCAGAACTGAACTTGTCAAAAAAATTGCATGAAGTAGAACCTGCTGCTAGACATATCTGCCATCTGGATTTTTCAATTCTGTGATGCTTTTCATTTCCTTTTTAAGACATTGCCCTTCATTTTTGAGTTTGATTCAGGTGGGACAGCATTTAATGGCGTTGTTGAAGAATTGAAGAAAGTCACTACTCGAGTTGCGCATGTGCTCCCTGTTTCTGATGATGGTGGAAGCACAGCTGAGATTGTGCGTGTCCTTGGTAGGTTCCTATGTTTCCTACAACAAAATTCACTTCCCCTGTTACTTGAGAAATACTTTAGTGTATCTGCGTGTGTCAAATATGCTATGATGGTCAGTGTTGGCCTCCCTGTATTAGGTGGTCCTGCTGTGGGAGACATAAGATCAAGATGTTTGAGATTGTCTGATGAAAGTACTGCAGAAGCTCTTTCTGTTCGGAAATTGCTTGGGCATCGTTTGCCTATTGATCCTTCAGAGGCAAAGCTGGAATGGTAGCAATGTGTTCCTCTTTTGCAGATCGATTATATTTTCTCTTTTTAGTTTCTGTCCTAGTGTCCAATTAGTTTCTTCTTTATGAATAGCCAATTTTAATTGTGGATTTCATAGGTACCAGATTGTAGAAGGAGACCACTCTTTATGGGAGGGAGTCTCTCGTCCATACAGGGAAACTATTCGTGCCTTTTTGGTCTACTTTCACAGTGAGGTCTGTCTCTCATGTGACATGTCTTTTCTTTTCTCCCATAAACATGTCTAAAGCCTGCCCTAGTTATCCATAGGCTGAAGATTAAGCAATGCATCACCTATTCTCTTAGTGACACATAATGACTTCTACATATTTGTGCAGATACTTCGACGGTCAGCTGAAATGTTTTGCTTCACCCATGGCAGGTGATTCTTCTAAGATGAAATTTGCAGTAGATCATATTCTTGCAAATCATCATTTCTTTTCATTGTGAGACAATTGTTTACATATTGCTACATTTTGATGTATTCAATGGTATGATGTGCATAATACCTTGCTGTCTGTGATGTCATTTTTCTACAGGGAACGACCCTTTAGGTCAAGTTATTAATCCTCCCAAGTCGTTTACATTTCATTTAACTTACTACAGATTTATTTATTTTTGCAGCATTGGAAATTTCTTTTTTGCTGGGGCACGCATATTCTTCCAGTCGTTGGATGCTGCAATTTTTTTGTTTTCACGCGTATCACAGATCCCAGCAGAAAGTCTTGTGCTTCCTGTTATATCCACAAATGACAGACTTACTCTGGGATGTGAACTATGGGTAACCTCACTTGCCAAGCCAAAGTTTTACCCATGTTGTACAAGTTGCTGTATATATGTCTGTGTTGCTCCTTGTTACATGCCCTTTGGATAAAACTTTACTTCATCTTTATTTACTTTGTATCCTTCTTTCTTTTAATGCTGGAATGTATTTGTTACATTTACTCCAATTAGGTAAGTAGCTTTGTTCTTGTAGGCTTCCATTTTTTCTACTAAAAAATAAGCTTGCATTTTTATTATTCTGAGTCTTAGATGTGGCAGGGTTGTTTGTGTTGGCAAATTTACTTCTACATATAAGCATGCACATCTCTTAATCATAAAACCGTAAATAAACATCTTAATTTCTTTGTTTATACAAATTTCTCTCTCTCTCTCTCTCTCTCTCTCTAATGAAAAACCCTTCTGTTTTCAGGATGGGACTATCATTCGCGGCCAAAATGAAATATCACATCCAAGCAATGGACGCCGAGAAATTGTCAACAAGGTACTTGAAAGAGTACTATGTTGAATGGTGATAGTTCCTGAGTTTTTTGGCCTGCATGATAAATGACGTTCTCTTGTTTTTATTCCACAAAAGGGGAATATATTAGTAGATCTAAACTTAGCTCATCACGGCTGTGTCACCCTACTTTGGTAACATGCCTTTCAACCTGTTCTTGTTGTAAATTCTTCCTGTAGCTAGCAATTCTCAGTTGGTCTTGGATGGCAGATAGATTGGCTAAAGTGGGGTTTGCCTCATCCTTTTTCTTGCCCACTATGCGATCAAGAAAACCAGTAGTACTATCCAAGACCTACTGGTTTTGTGAGTAGTTGAGATGCAAGGTTGCTTTACCACACTTCAGCAAATAGAACTGCAGGCTAGGCTTATACGAGGAGTCGTTTCAAGCTGGTGGTGCAAAGCCTTAAAGCAGGCCAATAAGCAACTTAGTAGGGGGCTTAATTCTCTGAGCACATTAGTCACTTATGAAATCTGGAAACATAGGAAAAACCGAGTATTCAACGGAGTTGCTCCTGAGTGGCTTTGGCGGTGAGGGCAGTAGAGAGCAGGGCACTTTGTGCTGTGCAACTGGAGCCACAAGGACCTCCAGGGTCTGGTCACTAGATAGGCTAGATGCCCTATCGGCTGTTTCTCCCATTTTTTGTGGCATGCTTGTTCTATAAGTTTTCCTGGTGTGTGTGGTGATGTAAATAATAAATCTTCCCGTCTTTGATGAAATGACACGCAACTCTTCTGTCCGTTCGAGGGAAAAAAACAACAACCTATTCTTGTCAAATCATATATAGCAATATAGCATGTTATTCCCAAGAAAGTTGGGGGTAGGCTAAAGATGAAACCATCACGTCCACAATATGCTTTTATCATTACAGTTGCTATGTATTATAACTAAAATTCTTGAGGTGATGTCTTGAAGAGCAAGCCCGCAACACCTTCTAATTTGAGTCGGGGATGGTGTACTTAGTCTAAGGCTTTAAATTATCCTGTGATGTCGGTTGCTAGTTGCTACTATGTACTTAGTCACTATATGCATCCTTGTTGATTTCTCACTGTGTTTATTCTTGTCTAATTGATTTTTCTGTTTTCTGTCCTTTTCTGGAAGGATTGTAATTCATGCAGTGCACTTCCTTCAAGGATCAAGCGTGTGTTTTACATGTCAAGTGAAGGCAGCAACCTATTGCATGAGGTAGGTACTCATTCTATTTTGACTTGTTAGGCCTTGTACTTGTCCTTGCCATGCAGGTCTACTATGAGTGCTAAACTATTCTTTAAGGCAATGGATGCTTAAATATCTTGACCTTGGGGTTTTACCAAATCTCGTAAATACATTTAATATAACTCAACAGGCTGGTTCACATGTCTTGATGTCTGACATAATGGTGAACTTGTCTTTGAAAATCACACTTGCATCTGCCAGTCACTTTATGGTGTCATCTAAGAAGGCATGATCCTTTTAAAATGCCCATATCATCAAAACTCATTTATCTTCTTGCATGAATAGAAATATATTTAAGCAAATATCAGTAATGGCTTACTGGCATATAAACTTGATAAGCTATCATGATGTCCGAAAATGATATTTGATATCTCATATCTTCACCATTTCTGATTGTTTTCTGCTACACTTTCATTTTAGGTTTTCCCTGAAGTTAACCATACAGTTTTGGAGCAGCTAAGTAAGGTGGACTGCGTTGTCTATGCTATGGGATCACTCTTTACATCAGTCTGTCCATCACTGGTAATGTTCATAAGGACCTATATCATTTACTTTTGTCTTCATAAGTTTCAGTGCATATATGACTGTTGTTTGACATTTGCTGAAGGCTGAGGCCATAAAACTATGAGATACTTTGTCCTGACTGCTAGACTCATAGGCATTGCCTTTGTTCATGTTCAAAATAGTTGTGTGGGTTAGCTAAGCTAATCTAAACCCGGATGTACTGACTTTCTTGTACATTTTTCTCCAGAAACATATCTTGCTTGGCTTGATAAAGTGCGTTAGATGGGCCAGCTGTAGAAAAAAGAAAGGCTGGACTACTTGTTAGGAGCACTAAGTTACTCCACTGAGCAAATGGGCCTGTCGCAGAGTCTTAGTGGCACCCCAGTGGCCTGAGGACACCCCCCCCCACCCACCCACCACCACCCACACACACCCCTGGTTAAAAAAAAACAGCTCTTGTCCCTTGCTGTTCCAGTGACACAGTTATGGAGATATACGTGGCCTGCAAGGGTGGCTGCTTCTGGACAAATGTCCTGCAGTGAGAAAATCTCTTCTTCACTTAAATACCCGGAGGGTGGTCTTTCCCCCAAGGGCCGTGGTCTCTTTTTTTAGTTACTCCGCTGAAGTGCTTGACTCTGATCCACCTCTTACCTTAAAACCATGTGGGAGTTGGAATATTTACTTCAGGTTGACTGCCAATGCACATTCTGTTGAATAACACTGGATTTAACTTCTCACTCTGCACTTGTTTTGCATCATCCCCTCTTGTACCTCCTTTCTAATATTAAAGCTTATTATATGCAGGTATTACGTGGCATTGGTGAGATTATAGCATCAAGATCCATCCCCAAGGTATCTAACTATGCTAAGACCAGATTAGGTATCAACTTCCCATGCTTGGTTACAATGATGTTTTGATACCATTCATCTTGGGTCGAATGTGCCCTCTTAGTTATTTATAAATCAATCTGTAAGTGCAATTTGTCTAACTGATGCTTGGCTAGAAAGATGCTCTGAAGTGGCAAGCTTAAATGTACTCTATTAAATGGGTTATTGACCTTTTCACTATCCAATGGTTATTTGACAAGTGAAGCAAGTGTTCTAAACTTGCAGATCTCATTGGTATTTTCTGCAGTTAGTATTAGTTATATCTCTTGGTGCTTTCACTAAAAATATGTTTCTGTCTGAATCCTGCTGAATCCAGGTACTTCTACTGAATGGATCACATGACAGAGAGACTGCTGGGCTGTCTGCCTCTGGCTTTGTCACTGCAATTACTGATTCTCTAAATCGGACATACGGTGATCCTCACAAAAGCTTAAAGAATCGTGTAAGTTTGTTCTATGTTCCGCTAACAATTTACTGGAAGAATATGAAGCTATGGAGGAGTCAAATATTACAGTTTTGGGAATACAGGCGTCATTTTTCTGCTAAGATTAACTGTTGATTATTTCTCTGCCTTTGTGTGCAGCCCAATGACTATGTAAATGCTATATTGGTTCCAGAAGGAGGCCAAGTTCCTTTAGATATTGCAAATTTGGCAGCTCAGGGAATCTTTAATGTCGTAAGTATCTCTATTTTATTGGCTATGATTGTGCTTATTGATGTGAAAGAGGATGAGGAAATGTTCTTGTTTTCCCTACTATTTCCATTGTCCTGCATTTCAACAACCTCACACAACAGCGAGCTATTTTCCTAAGTCTTGTTTTGTCTGTGATGGTAACTCTTGAAGTTCCTGTTCTTTCATTCCTATTCGGGCCTCTCATTATGCAATCAAATGGTATTCTGTTTTTTTTTTCATCAGATTATTGCTTGCCTGAATAAAAATATTTGCTGCTGAATCGCAAAAGGCACACTGGGGTTGCCTTGAAGTTTTAGAGAATCCAGTCGAGCAAGCTTAGTTTTAAAATATGGTTTATAGATAAACAACATTAGTATTGTACTACGTAAAAGATATTACAGAATCTTGTGTAAGACATTGTATTATTGTTGTCCTAGTGTTTCCACACAATAACTTTTGCTGAAACGTTTGTTTTCGTGTGCCAATCCATATTGTAGGTAACCGTGAAGTCTATTCATGACCCGAAAGTTGGCGTCATATTTGATGCACGGTCATTGATCCAAGCCCTAACCATTCTCATATCTGAACAGATGGATATGTGTCTCTCAGAACGTGGTCATCTAACTCAGAATGTAAAAGTTGTAAATTGAGCTTTCAAGTAAAAATTGAATGTATAGCCCCCCTTACCAATTTATTGTTTTACCAATCGATCCATAGTGTTAGTACTCATATTTGTTTGTATTTTAGCTAGCACTAGTGTTGCAATTCTCCGTGACTTGACATGATTAATGAAAAATGAGACGTATTTTTCAATTTCTGTAATTTCGTTTCATTTCAATTCCTTTGCTCTGTGATGGTTACCTTTTTCCAGCATTAATCTTTAATAAAGCCTCTAGAATTTGCCAAAAATTATGAGAAAGACTAGTGCTCGACGTCTGGACCTGCCCACGTGCCTTACGTGCTCCCTGTGCTTGCGGCAGGAAATGGCACAGGCGACACACTTTCTTGATGCATGCGGCCAACGGAAGGGATGCTTCCTGTGCATGCGTCAGGAAATGGCGCAGGCAACATACTTCCCTGGATGCATGCGGCCAACGGAAGGGACATGTGCACCGTGGCCTCCCACTTTGCCTGGATGGGCCCCACAGCGCATGCATGTACCTCCTGCCTGCCCGTGTGCTGCTGTTGTCGTCGCACGCTGCTGCTGCTGCCGCACCTGCCCGGCCCCGCCTACTGCTGCGGTATGCATGCCCCTGCGCATGCATGTGGGGGCCGTCGCGCACACAGGGCCTGCAACGCCCGAGGGGACCACCTTCGTCTGCGCCCACTTCCCACGCCTGGTCATGGAACACTTACAACATAAACCATTTATTGCAATATACGTTCGAAACAGATGAAACATTCACAAACATACGCTTGCAACATGTGTATTAAAAATGCAACATATGCAACATTCAGATAAAACAGTTGCAGCTGGAGCATTTGAAACATACGCTTGAAACATACGTGTATGACCAGTGCAACATATGTAGCATCTAGATAAAACACTTACAATATACGTTTGAAATAGCTGAAACATTTAAAACATACACTTGCAATATACGTTTATGGGCATTGCAACACATGCAACATCTCGATAAAACACTTTGAACCATTCGTTTGAAATAGTTGAAACATTTAAAACATACACTTGCAACATACGTGTATAGCCATTGCAAAATATGCAACAGATATAGTTTTGAAACATCTAGATGAAACATAGGCAACATACATCTAAAACGCATGAAATATACGGCTGCAACATGTGCTCATCTACTTGCTGCCCTCCAATGGAGGCTTGTTGACGCGGAGCTCAACGCTAGCGTGGAGCTCAAGGTCGCCCATGGTCGACAAGCAGATGGATTGCGGCCACGGCGGGAGGCGCGAGGTACGGGCGAGGGTGTGCGGTGCGAAGCACAGGGGTAGGCGGGTCGGTTTCCGTCCGGAAAAGGACGATCGCCCTGAGGTATCATTATCGAAAAAATTATTGCTATGCAAGTTTCAGCATTAGTATATGAAGTAATTAAATTCGCTTCCCTCGCTAATGAACAAATTATATGTACCTTTTTCACTTGCTTTGAAGACTAAAGCATCCGGAATTTGCCAAAAATTCTTGCCATGCAAGTTCATGCATTTATATGCAAGTAACTAAATGTTTGATAAGTCAAAAAACTCGGAGGTTGGGTGTTATCATGGTTGTCAAAATACTACAGAAAGAATAATTTCCACTCAAGACATAAGAAAACCGAAATTATATAAATGGCAAAAAAAAGACCTTTGTATTTTTTGGAAGGCAATCCTATGCACATGAGCCTTCAATATCTCAGGAGTGACTTGAAAATTTTAGTGATATGACAATTTTTAACGTTTATCATTTATGCATGTGCTGCTACTATGACCAAAAGAAGCCATAAGGTAGGAGGATGGTTATGTTTCACCTAAAAAAAGGAATATTTATGGTCATAGATGAATACAAAGTGGTTGGAATACATCACAATTGGAGAATGTTAGCAGTTGACATATTGACATTTCATTGAAACTGTTTCTTTGGGAGGGTTGGATTCTTCATTTAGCTCTAACGGGATTGCGGGAGGGTTTTTTGTGAGCTTCGCAGCAAGCCAGCAACCTCACTCTAAGTGATCACAAGATTGGCTTTTGTAATTGAATACACTCTTATTGGCTTGTAGATAATAGTAGTGGACAGCCTGCAGTTTGTTTTTCTTTTAAAAATACGTTCATGGCATTCTAATATCACAATAATTTTCTTTGATTGAATTGGATGCCGATCTAGTTTGCTTTGACAAATCTCAGAGTAAAAAATTGGGCGTGGGCGTGGGTATAGTATTTGTTTAGCCAAATAAGAGCGTGAGTTCCCCGAACAATCTTTTTGGCAAGATTAAAAAAAACATTTCTCCAACAACTCTCAATCTCACCACCCAATCTTTTGGCACTTGAAAAAAATCCATCACGCGGATAAATACGCGCGCGTATCAATCATGCCAATATAAGGTGAAAGGATGTGAGAAAGAATAAAAAGTAGGACATGATTTCTGATACAAATGTACTAGAGAAAGAATGTATAAAAATGGTTAATGTGATTTAGAAATAGTTATGGATTTCTGATGTAAAATTATCTTCTTTCAGGAACGAGATTTTCGAAACCGTTGGAACAAATATGCTCACAAGTTTTTTTAGTCACTTGAAAAACTCATTAGTTTACCAAGTGATAGTGATATTTTAGAAACTGTTGGAGATGTAACACGTTCAGCCTATTGCCCAAAAAACGTTCAGCGTATTGCCAAAAAAGAAAGAAATCGTTGGTTGGTTGGATGGATTTGGGGCGAAACCGGGCTGCGTGCGTGGATGCACGCTGCGGCCACGATCTGTTTGGCGACCTGGAAACGAGTTCGTTGAGGACACGGCGGTGCAGCAGCAGCCGTCGCCAGTCGGCATCGGGGCGGCGGCAGCCTGCAGCACTGTCAAAGGTCTGGATGACCAGAACCAGCATTGCCGTCCCCGGCGCTGTCGGGGAAGTTTTGATAGCCAAGCCAACGCATCTGCATCGCAAGAATGACCAAGCGCGCATGGAAATGAACTGGGAATGCGATAGCAACTGCATGCTTATTGGCTTATTGCGGTAGGAAAACATCTCTAGTAGGAGCAGTTTTCTAAAATTGAGGAGCCATAACCAATCTCCACTGTTCCAGGTACCAGGTGAAAGCAACACTTCCGGAATTACATCAGTAGCCGACATACACTGCAGCGTTGACTATGTAGCAGTCATCGTTCTTATCCCCCATTGCTTCCAGGCACACGCCGCTTGAACAGATCATGCCACCATCAACTACCTCGAAGCTGATTATTTTGCCGCTGCAAAAGATCGAAGCAAGGGCACATGAGATCCAGAAACAAAGACGCACGCTATCATTACGCAGCAATGCACATTTTATCAGGGCACGCCTTCTATATTAGTGTCCACCACTCACGAGTACCCTAACTTGGCCCCCAAAAGGCTCTGCCACCAGTTTGCAGCATTGATATCGGTCATTCTAACAAAATATATTCCACTGAATTTGAGAATACCTGCTTAATTTTCGTTAGTGATACTTGTACTGCCAAATACCATCTAGTCCATGATACTCGATTTTGATCAGGTTTTTACATTGTCAATCGTGTTGACAATCATCTTGAATGCCTACTGAATAAATAGTATACTAAAAGGTGTAGTCTTCAACATGAAAACTGCATGAGTACCGCCGCAATTTCAACTGATACAATATTATTTCACAATGATTCAAGTAAATATAACTTTTCATAAGATATAACACCAACATACACGTACGTATTATGAATTCACATAAATTATTTCTTTTGCAAACTTGACAATCATCTTATATAAAACTACATGGTATGGCTATTGAACATTCCATAACCCAATGCACAGTAGTAAAATGAACAGATCTGCCATGATATTTGATGGAAGGCTAAGGTGCTTGTCTCTTCTCACTAGTTGGTATCAAAAATATTATAGCATCAATGATGTGCAAGATATTGTTTTTACTCAAAAAAGGGTGTACTTAGTCCTGAATTTTCTAGACAGACTTACCCTTTGTGGACACAGAGAAATTGTAGTGTTGAAGATTCCAACACCATCCCTTAGTATAATACTGACCACACATTCTTTGCTGTCCTATTTGAAGTATTTGCAAGTCTTAGATGGTGTGATGGCTCAAATGGATGTTTACTAAATGATGATACCTTAAAAGTTAAAATGTTAAGGTATTAAAGTTAAAATGTTAAGGTATTCTCATTTGTGATGTTGATGCTGACTCAATGAACTCTTAAAGAAACATGTTGTACAAGCTTGACCAAAGCAGGAAAATCAGGTGTTTCTAGGGCCCGTTTGGCTCCCTATGGCACGCCGAGCTTTGGCCACGCCATAAGTGCGGCGCATGAAAACAGCACAACACTTTAGGCGAGCTACGACATGCAAAATGAACTACTGGCGCCTAAGAAGCGTGTGGCATACCGCAACTTCTGTCATGATCTAAACATCAGCTAACGTTAGGCGAAATGAGGCGTGGCGACATCTGGTAATGGACCGAAAACAGCCATATGCTCCACGCAGGTCACTAGGGGAAATGAGGTCAGAGAAAGGAATATTATTCTTTTACATATGTCAAGGAGCTAGTATAGGGTTGTACATGAATACAGAATCTCTAATCAAAGCCCACCACTGCCTAAACTAAACCATTGGTATTGTGGTCTCTGTGCCTAGACATTCTGTGGAATCTCAACTGATGAGGACCACTCTTAATAAATTTTCATACTGTCATGACTTATGAGCACCGCAGCCAGAAAAGTTTTTCTATGCAGATCAATGAGTAGAGGTCATCATGACATTGTGCTAAGAAAACATCCTGTCTTAGGCTCACATATTCTGCAATTGATGACGTCTGACTATATCAGAGGCCACGTATAAAGCAGGGTTGCAAATTTAGAGCCCTATTTGCTCCCCTAACCACTGATATATGCTCATGAAATCATCATCTCAGCAATAACCAAGGCACTAAAAAATAACTACTTCATTATGAACTGCGAACCCATCACATCATTGCACTGCAACTGTCCGGCACTTGGATGCTAAATTTCAAAGTTCTAACAGGCACCACGAAAGAAACGAGAGAGAGAATGCTCACTAGGGGAAGACGGCCTTGACTCTCTCAGCATCCAGCAAGTGCTGCGTCGACTTCGGCACCCCGAGCTTGATCTGCAGCTTCATCTGGTCGGTGTTCACTCCAGGAATGGACCCTGCAGCAGGCGCAGCACACAACCAAAACAACCCAGTTCAGCATCTCCTGCCATGCCATGCCGTCGACATGTCCGACAGAATGCCCGTCAAGCAGGGGACAGCGGGTCGGCGAATTTGTTCCGTACCGCCGCGGAAGGCGGGGATGGAGTTGGAGGTGATGGCGTCCTTGCAGGCGCGCACGGCGGCGGCGGTGATGTCCTGGCCGTGCTGATCGTAGCCGACGCCCATCTCCACGAACAGCAGCTTCATGGCCGGCTCCTCCGCTCCTCCCTGGGCGTCGCTCGCCTGGTGGGGCTGCGCGACCTCCATCCGAGAGGACGCGGCCGCGGGCGCTGGATTGTTAGGGTTCGGAGATCGGGTGCGGAGGTGGGGGCTGGAGTGAGTGTGAGACGGTCGGGAGGAGGACGACGGGAGCGGTGGCGTGCTTGGTCTGGTCGGGAAGAGGAGGCTGCTGGGGAACGGTGCTGCTGACGCCATCTTTGGCTTCCCAGTAGTGGAATAGTGAGTGTTGCAATTTGCAAAGGTTCAGAGGTCAGCAGTGTCCGAGGCCTAAACCGTCGAAACTAAACGCAGTCGATTTTCGCAATATGCGACCGGGTGTAACTTTTTTTTATGACTCTTTCCTGTTAGGTTATACTCCCTCCATCCAAAAAAAATACAATTCTGTAACAGTATCATATTTTATATACAAAGTTTGACCAATTATAGAGAAAAAATATAAATATTTATAATATCAAATAAATACCATTAAATTAAGTACGAAATATATTTTTATAATAAATTAATTTGGAGCCATAAATATGAATATCATTTACTAAAACTTGGTCAAACATGAAACCCTTAAAATGACACGCATACCATAGTTACATCCTTTTAGGAACTAAGGTAGTACTCTGTATTGTTACTCGTTGTCTTCGCATGATAAAATATATCTAATTAAAAGTTCTGCACATATACATCGTGGATGGTTGCCACGCATAGGTTAGACGATCCAACAACGTGTTGCCTAGAAAAGCACGGTGTAGGCTTCGCTCAGCTCCGGCGCATGGCTTCCTAGCCCTCGGCTCCAGCACACAACTACAACTCTGGCTTCAGTTGCATGTGGGAGTGGAATGTTAGGATTGGTAACTGTGCGTTAGAGCTGAGTGAAGCCTGTGTGGTGTTTTTCTAGATATGTTGTTGGATTATCTAGACGTGTGTGTGGCAACCATTTATGATATATATGCACGAGAGTCGTCATGAATATAGTTTTCAAGAAATGTTTTTCCTAATTGGCTCATTGAAACGGCAATAAAAATAGAGAATGAAGGTGTCTCAAATAGGTGGAATCGAAATATAAACGCTAATATACCTATAATATAAAAGAACGTATTTTTTTCTTCCATCTCTTACTCTTTGCCGGTATGTCCATTCCTCACTTATTTTCTCTCTCTCGGTCCAAGGTCCCTCACTTTTGACCTTCTTGTTTTGAGTTTGGAGCTGCAAAATCTTCGTTAGCGCTACATCACTTATGTCATTTTCTAACCGTCAAAACCCATTCGCGGAGCACTGCTCGTGCGGGTGTCACTTGCCTTCTATTTTTCTCAAACTCTCGTAACATGTGCACACAATAGCTACCTATTTAAGTTGAATTAATCTCATGTCAATTTACTCTACAAGATTAGTTCTTTATTGCACTAGTGTTTATTATAGGCCTTGGAATTTGTTTCATTTAAGGTCAAGTCAAGGCCAATTATTCAAGAGAAATAGCTATCTCATTATCATTGTATGACACCGTGCAGTAAATTATAGGTCGCGTTGCAACGTAAAGCCATATTTGCTAGTTAGTTCTAAAATTAGTTACACATATTCATACAACCTATACCATACTGCACTTGGACTATATATTTAATTTAATAATGTTAGTACAATATGACCACAATTACACATAGTGTATCGTGACTAAACGTTGGACTAGATATGTACTCTCTCGGTCCTGAAACATAATAGATTTTCAGTAGTTGTAAGTGAAGCCATTCTAATTTTAATTTATAAAGAAAGTAATAGCGTCTATGCGACATTAAAGAGGTATAGTATGAGAATAAAGTGATTTTATATCATAAATATGATTGTTGTTTTTTACAATTTAATCAAACTTACGATAGATTGATTTAGGATAACTAAAAATCCACTATATTTCGTGACACAAGGAGTAGCAATTAGAATTAGTTTGCTGATTCGTTTTAGCCTCGCACAGGAAATGAACAAATTTTGACATCTTACAATCCGTGTTTGCCCAAATCTATTTAGTTCAGACAACTAGCTATTGAGATTTGCTCTAGAAAAAATTAGGGTTGGTTTGATTGGGCTTTTCGGCCTGCTTTTGCTTCCAAAAATCAAAAGTCTAACCAAAGAGATTGCTTTTGTAGGCTGTTTTTTTAGAAGTAGTTGTTTTTTATAGTACATTTTTTGAAAAAAACATCTTAGACCCTGTTTTTGACTTTTGACTTTCTGTTTTTAAAAAATGGGTGGAATTAAGAACTCTTTCATAGTTATTTCTAGAGAGATAAATGTAGAGATATATTTTATACTTGTTTCAACGAAACAACTTTTAGTTTTTTCACGGCTCACTATCCATGACAGCTTTTCTACGGCACACAGTCCACAACCGCTCTCCCCACAGCCATAGCTCAACAAAAACAGACACGTAGCTACTAGCAAGTTTATCTTCAAACTGCTTATATTAAATTACAGATTGAGCGCCGTCATAGATTTTTTGTTTCAGTGTTTGTGCGAGATCGAGCCAAACGAGAAATTCCTGTGTTCGAGATTCCTTTGTAGGATCAAGAATCCCAGATAGGCCCGAATGCTGGGATACCGGCCTTGGTACACCCCGCGACGACGTCCCTGCTCCCTTCGGGGTTGCTGGTCACCACCACCACCTCCGAGCCCCAACGCCGCGCCGCGTCCACGGCCAGCGCCGCCACGTTGGGCCGCCCCATCAACGCCGTGTCGTGTACGATCACCCGCCCGCGGAGCCTCTCGCTGCTGTACGCCGCCGACTTCATCTCCTCGCCATAGTTGGCGTCGATTCCCTTGGCCACCCACACCAGCGACAGCTCGGCCGGTCCGGGCTGCACGAGGAAGGACATGAACACGCATATCCCGGAGCCCGTCGCGACCATGGTCGCCCGCCGGTACATGTTGAGGAGGTAGGGCAGCCCGGCGAAGTGGACCCCGCGCACCCAGAGGCGTGTCGGAGGGTCCGATATGAGAGCCCGGGTGAAGTCGCCCACCGCGCCGGCGAGCATCGCGTGCGAGTCCCCGTTGTCGGAGATGATGCCGAAGGCGTGCCACTCGGAGAGCGGAGAGCGGCTGATGCGGCCGAGCAGCCCGCCTTTGACGCCGCCCTGGAAGGTTATCACGGAAGCGTGGCTGGACCGCGCGGTGATCGTGACCGGCACGCGCCGCACGGTGAGCCATGGCAGGAAGGTGAAGAAGGTGATGGCGGCAGTGAGCCAGAGCTCCTGCCGCTTCACGAGGACGGAGCCGGTGAGCCGGTGGTAGGAGGCGGTCGCCGGGTCGTAGCCGGCGGAGAGCACGATGAAGACCCACAGCAGCGCGAGCGCAGTCCAGCCGGCGAACCGGTGCGTGCGCTCGAACACGTTGTGGTGCATGTGGCGCACCAGTGGGAACGCGGCCATGCACGAGAGCGCGAGCAGGCCGAGTATGGCCGACGCGACCCCGACGACCTCTCGTGGCGTCACGTCGCGGTGCTGGAACGCCTGCACCAGCGCGTACACCAGCCACGCCAGCGACGACACGCCGCAGCCACTGTGCACGCCGCCTAGAGACTGCAGGATCGCGGTCACTCCGGTCTTGACGACGACTGGCACCCACGGCCGGCCGAAGAGCGCGACGGCGAGCCAGAACACGACCCGCAGCACCGCCTCGGAGCGGCACAGCGTCAGCGCCAGTATGTTGCCCATGGCGAAGACGGCGGCATGCGCCCTGGCGTAAGGAAAGTGTCCCGTCGCGGCGAGCACGAGGCCCACCGCGTTCAGCGCGACGCACAGGACGAAGAGGCGCTTGTACACGGTGAACAAGCCCTGGTCGAGCAGTATGACACCCAGCCTCGAGCGCGCGGACGATGCCGCCGGCTTCGCCGGCGCCGGAGCGTTCGCCTTCTTTCTCGGTTGCACGTCATCGACAGCCACAGCTGACGCGGCGATGGCCATCTCCACGTCGGCACCGTTGACGACGGGCTCATCGTCCGCGTCCTCGTCATCGAGATCGAGGTCGCAGAAGTGGCTGCTCACGCGGCTCGTCGACCTGCCAAAGGCGGAAGGAAAGATCCTGGAGGAGGCACCGCTGAACGACTGCGGCAGCCAGACCCACCGTCCGGCGCTCGTCGGGGCGTCCGGCGGCGGCTGGGGCGGATAATGATCGACGGCTTGGAGGGCGAACGGGCTGTCCGGCGACGCCTTGGGCTCGAAAGAGACGCCACGACAGCTCGAGAACTTGAGCTTGGCTTGGTCTTGCCAATCCATGGCGCCACAAGACACAAGCTAGTCTTGTAGAGAGCTATAGGGCAAGTGATCTAGCAAGGTTTCTGGCTTCTTCGACGTGCTGGGTGCTGGAATATCATGTATGCGTATTTATAGGCAGCCAGCTTTGCATGGCTCTGACTATTTGATACACATTAATTGCTTGAGCTCTGAAGCCGTCAATACGGAGGAATAATGCACGGCTCATATTGGCAATTTGGCATGTGGAGAAAATATTTAATTGGGTGAGTTCCTCAAATTCTGTATTTTTATTAGGCCGATCTTAACGTGAATTTTATAAGAGTTTCATGAGCATTAAATAATCTGATGTGACATAGTATTGATAAAGGGACATATGATAAAAGTTTCTGAATGATAAAACGACTTTCGTGGGGATGAAACTTGTAGAAGAATAAAACCAAATACGCATCATATGTGAGCACAGGAAGTCAAATCTCATATATAGCTACAAATAAGGGTAATATCAATAGACAATGCTCGAAATATAACGTATTTAGTATATAAAGGATATAACCTTAGACAACAAACAGCAGAAAGACAACTTCGATCTTCGGGTGAAGACTCCAGTTCTACAGGGACAACTGACTGGTTGATCACAAACCTAATTTCTTCAAACTCTAGCAATCTGGTACCCATCCGGGATTTTTTCAAATATTTGAAAGGTAAAGCAAGCGTAAGTACATGTCGTACTCAACAAATATAACATGGGGTTCATGAGGCTCAAAAGGCTGACACTAGTTCAACTGCGATTAGCTTTTAATGAGTCATGATTTTAGCAATTGAGTAGCAACAAGTTTATCCACAAGCCCACATAAACACATGATCAGGTAAACATGAATAATGAACAGCAAAAACAATAATCATTAGTGAGCATCTTTATCATCAGTATCGTCAGTGTTCATCATCTATTCCGTAAGGGTTCAAGGCCGC